AACATTTTTTAAAAAGTTGCATAATATCCTTTAGTATGGATATACCATTATTTATTTAATGGAACAAGTAAGGGAGAAAAACATCTAACATTTTTTGCTGTTTGCAGCTATATTCCATGTTGTGAGGGTCATTCTTGTAGCTAAATCTTTATGTGCATTCTTAATTATTTCCTTAGGAAACATTTCTTAAAATGGAATTACTAGAAATTTTTAAGACTTGATATGTATTGCCAAATTACCCTTCAGAAAGGTCTAACCAGTTACAATCCCACCAGTGGTTTATAAAAAGTACCTGTTTTCTTCTATACTTAGTATTTGCTATTCTTTAAACTTTTTAAATTATAAAATGTGTATAATAACATAAAAAATAGGAAAATGGGAAAAAAATCACCTAGAATGCTATTTCCCTAACATGGCTATGATTATAATATTTGTTATAGTATTCCAGGCTTCAGTCATATGCATAAATGGTTATAATTATACATATAGGATTTTTTTGTACTTTTTTTCATTCATTGTATTTTTTCCTGCCTTTACTTGGTTTTCATGATTCCAGTTTTTAATGGCCACATGATATAATAAGTATTCATATTTATCTAACTCTTCCCCTATTCCTGAACAACTATATTGCTGCCAGTTATTATTATTTTATATAATACTATAATAAAAACAGAGATAACTATCACTTACTGAACAGTTACTACAAGCTTTATACTATGCGATTTTTCCTTACTTTGTATTATTTTCTTAGGATTGATATCCAGAATTGGTAAATTCAGATCATGAACATTTTTATGGCACAGCCTTTGTTCCTATGCCACCCTTTCCTTTCTTATTCCTTTCTACCATCATACATTTATTAGAAGCCTAATATGTGCCAGGCACTATTAAGAGGCACTGAGACTACAAAATGGATCAGATGGAGTCCTTGAAGTAAGAAATTAAACGTATATAGTAAAGAAGGATATGATAAAAGGCATTACTAGATGATGGATCTGTCCATCATCTATCTGTCTATTCATCCATCCACCCATCCATCCCACACACATGATTTTCCCCCTAAGCATGGGAGAGCTAGTTTCAGATATGATGCCCTTTTACCCCTAAATATTTCAGTATAAGAATAGGAATGGCTAGGTGTAGTGGGTCATGCCTGTAATCCTAGCACTCTGGTTGGCCAAGGTGGGAGGTTTGCTTCAGGTGAGGAGTTCGAGACCAGCCTGAGCAAGAGCAAGACCTCATCTCTACTAAAAATAGAAAAAATTAGCTGGGTGTGGTGATGCACGCCTGTAGTCCCATCTACTTGGGAGGCTGAGGCAGGAGGATCATTTGAGCCCAGGGAGTCTGAGGTTGCTGTGAGCTAGGCTGACACCACGGCACTCTAGCTCAGGTGAGAGAGCAAGACTCTGTCTAAAAAAAAGAATAAGGACATTTTCCTAAATAAGCACAATATAGTGACCAAATTCAGAGAATTTAACGTGGATATATAATACTATTATCTGTTCTACCCATTAAAATTTCACCAGTTATTCACATAATGTCCTTTATGGCAATTTCCTTCCAATCCCTTGATTCCAGGATCTAATTGAAGGTCTTGCACTGCCTTTAGTTGTCCTGTCTCTTTTGTTTCTTTTATTTATTTATCTATTTTTTTGTCACTCTGTTGCCCAGGCTAGAGTTCATTGGTGGCATCAACCTAGCTCACAGCCACCTCAGACTCCTGGGCTCAAGCGATCCTTCTGCCTCAGCCTCCTGAGTAGCTGGGACTACAGGCATGTGCCACCATGCCCAGCTAACTTTTTCTATATATATTTTTAGTTGTCCAAGTAATTTCTTTCTATTTTTTGAGGAGAGACGAGATCTGGCTCTTGCTCAGGCTGGCCTGGAACTCCTGAGCTCAAACGATCCGCCCACTTCGAGCCTCCCAGAGTGCTAGGATTACAGGCGTGAGCCGCTGCTCCTGGCCTCTTTTGTTTCTTTTAATCTGGAACATTTACTCAGCCTTTCTTCATCTATCACAACATTGGTATTTTTGAATAACAAAGACCAGTTATTTTTCAGAATGTCTTTCAATTTGAGTTTGAAATTTTCTCTTCTTTAGATTCAGGTTATACATTTTTGTCAGGAATACCATGTAAATGATGTTATGTTCTTTGTGCATCATATTCGGAAGCATGTGATGTTGGTTGGTTGCAATATTGGGGAGGTTAAATTTGACTACTTGGTTAAGGTGGGGCCTACCAAGTTCTTTCACTATAAAGCCACCATTTTTTTTTTTGCCTTTGGAATTAAAAAGTAATCTGTAGGGAGATATTTTGAAACCATGTATTAATAAATATTCTGTTCTTCATCCAACTTTCACCCACTAGTTTTAGCATCTATTGATGATTTTCTAGCTACGTCATTCCTCCTTATATTTATTAGTTGGCTTTTTACTATAAGTAAGAGCTTTCCCTTCGCTGTTTGTTTGTATCAATATTAATTCATGGATTCTTTTTTTTTGTTGTTTTCGAGACAGAGTCTCACTCTGTCGCCCCGAGTAGAGTGCAGTGGCATCATCACAGCTCACTGCAACCTCAAACTCCTGGGCTCAAGCAATCCTCCTGCCTCAGCCTCCTGAGTAGCCGAGACCACAGGCATGTGCAAGCATGCCTGGCTAATTTTTTCTGTATTTGTTAGAGACAGGGTCTTTCTCTTGCTCAGGCTGGTCTCAAACTCCTGACCTCAAGCAATCCTCCCACCTCAGCCTCTCAGAGTGCTAGGATTGCAGGCGTGAGCCACTGCACCCAGCCAATTCTTGGATTCTTATTTTATTGAGTGGGTTATGTCCTCTTACTATATTTACTTATTTCGATGCCCAAATTGTCCCAGATTTGGGCAGTGAGAACCCCTTCAGGCTGGCTCCTATGTGCTTTTGATATATTCCCATCATTTTTTGAGCAGTTCTTTATTTTTTGGCTTAGCAAGATGATCCAGGCTCATCTTATTCTTTCCTTGTCCCAGTGCTGGAATCAACCATTTCTCCAAGGAACCTTCATCCCTTTTAGTGTAGAAACCAAGATATGAGCTAAGGTATATGATTTTAAAAGAGTCCCCAAAGTGATTTTGCTGGTCTGTTTCTGGAACCTACCAAAACAGAGGCCTCTTGTATATAGGAGTTCCTTTACGGCAGTTTTCCCCTCTTGATCCAGGATCTAATTGAAGATCATGCATTGCCTTTAGTTGTCCTATCTCTTTTGTTTCCTTTAATATGGAATAGTTCCAGATATTTGCTAAATGAATAGGACTGAGAAGGTGTTGAAACAGTAGAGGGAGGTAGAGGAATATAAGTTGAATCACAGCATATGGAAGAGCCCAACTCAGACAAAAGAGCTATAGTTTAGTCACTTCAAGCAGACAGATGAGGCTAGAGAGTCAGGCAGGGACCAGTTCATTGAAAACTTTATTTGCCTTTTGAAGAAATTTAACCTTACAGAAACTGAGGAGCCATCATAGAGAGTTTAAAATGGGTAGAGAAAAGATTGATTTTGTTAGATTTTATGTTGCTCCATGAATTAGTATTAAACGTGTTTTGGGACAGGATCTGTCTTAGGAGTTTTACAGAGCTTTGCCCTGAAGGCTAGGTGAATGTGCTGGTTTGCATTTCGAATGCTGTTACACTGGAAGGGCATCTCTGAAAGGCAGTAGCGGTTGTATCCCACGAGGCGCCGCGTTTCTCAGACCTAAAGAATTGGATTTGCTTTGTAAAGCACAAGCGAATCTGTTAAAAACTATAGGCTGAGAGCTGACGATGGAGTGCCCTCCGGAACAAACAGCTTCCCGGAAACGACAGCTTCCCAAATGGCCAAAAGCAAAGCTTTTGTTTAAACCTCTCTAGACTACCTGTCTCCATTCACGATAACCTAATAAACATGCAGCTTACATATCTCTGTTTAACCCCTCTGTTTAAGTGACAAACTTACCTTAGAATTTAGAAATTAACCTTTGAAAGACTTTGTAACCGTTTGCTCACGTAAATAGAATTAGTTAAAGAATCTGTAGAAGCCTTCTGTAAAAGCCTTTTGAAAATCTGTTAACCTGAGAGGAACTACCTGTTGTTATGTAAATCTTTACCCCTGACAATTGTTCACTATTTCCTGTAAATTACCATGTAAGACCTCATTCGGGGCTTTTTGAGACCAACGGAGAGGTCTGAGCCCCCTGAGCTCCCGCTTTGCCTATAATCTTTGTAAACTTATAAAGCTATATCTTTGTCTCAGTGTATTCTTTTATTTTTTCCATTTTCCATTTCTCTCTATTATTTTCTTATCCCTTGCAACTCTACCAGAGGGACCCGGTTTTTTGCAGGGAACACTGGCCACGTTCCCCGCAATTTTATTCTAAGATCACTTTGCTGTCACCAGTTGCTCTGCTGTCACCAGTGGCAGTGTATAGAGGATGGATTAAGTAAATGTAAAATTATTTTCCGAAAGAGTTGGTATTTGCCCTCTTAAGGGCTTAAACTTTTCTCTAGAAGCCAATGTTGCAGCTGCTGAATAGTAACACCTCAAAGGAATAGTTGAAAGTGGTCTAGTGAAAAGAGATGAGACTATACATCACACAATAAGTTAAGAGTTGAGTAATTGATTTATCTTCTTGTAGAATGGCAATAACTCTTAAGTAGTAGTTTTACAAGCAAGACTAGAAGCTTAATAGTAGTGTCCTCCATTGAAAAATAACACAAACAAAAGTACATAAAACAGTTCTAACTTCATTTAATGAAAAATTTTGCTGAATAAAATGTACTTGATATACTGCTACATTTTGTATTTCATTATCTTTGGTAATATGTCAATAATAGGATTGATATAGACATTCAATAATATAGACATTCTACCTGATTTGCAAGGCAACCAAAATACAAAATGTAACAGTCATGTTTTCTGAAACAGCAGCAAATTGTATCTTTAGCTTGAATTTGGCCATTATTATAATAAGTTTTATGTCTGTACTATTTACAGCCTATATCTCAACCAGCTGGAGTTGAACAAGCAGCTCTTCCAAAACCAGACTTAGTTCGAAGGTAAGTGTCTTGAAATTAATACCATGAAAATAATAAGGGTATGCTGAAATGCATGCCTTCATTAGGTGCTTAGTGTATCCTGAGTAGAGAATCTTTTGTGTTCTTGTATTTGTGTGGATGTTTAATAAAAATGGTAGATATTATTTTTACTTTTTATGTCAATAGGGATCATATGGATTGTGAGATTAATTGGCCATTTTCTTTTCTTTTCTTTTCTTTTCTTTTTTTTTTTTTTTGAGACAGAGTCTGGCTCCGTCGCCCAGGCTAGAGTGCCGTGGCGTCAGCCTCGCTCACAGCAACCTCCAACTCCTGGGCTCAAGCGATCCTACTGCCTCAGCCTCCCGGGTAGCTGGGACTACAGGCATGCGCCACCGTGCCCGGCTCATTTTTTTTTCCTATATATTTTTAGTTGTCCAGCTAATTTCTTTCTATTTTTAGTAGAGATGGGGTCTTGCTATGTTGCCCAGGCTGGTCTCGAACTCCTGAGCTCAAACGATCCACCTGCCTCGGCCTCCCAGAGTGCTAGGATTACAGGCGTGAGCCACCGCACCCAGCCTTGGCCATTTTCTTGTTCCCTTTATACTATTTTGTTTTAAGAAAAGTTGATAAGGATTAATTTTTAAAAAAGAAGTAAGAAATAATATAATTTAGAGTAAAATTCTAGCTAATCTAAGGAAATAAATTACAACCAGATATATAATTATGTTATTATTTAGTAGTTGTAAACTACTATTTTTCTGATGTTGTTTAGATTGGGTAATTTCTATTGTTCTATCTTCAAGTCTACCGATTCTTTCCTTTGTCCTATTCATTCCACTATTATGGCCATTCAGTGAGTTTTTAATTTCTGTGATCATATGTTTAGTTCTATAATTTCCATTTGATTCTTTTTAATATCTTTTATTTCTTTTATAAGATTTTAGTTTCTTCATTTGCTTCAGGATTATTTGTAATTGCTCATTGAAGCATTTTAATGATGGCTGCTTTAAAATTCTTGTTAGATAATTCCAACATCTGATTCATCTTGGTGTTGGCATCTGTTGATTGTCTTTTTACATTCAAGTTGTGGTTTTTCTGGCTTTTGGTATGACGAGGGATTTTATTTGCATTTGTCTCCTGGACAGTTTGGACATTATGTTAGGTAACTCTAGATCCTATTTAAATCTTCTATTTTAATAGGCAGTCACCCTGTTTAGGTGCATAGGTCCTGGCCTACTTTTGTGGGCTGTGATTCTAATAACAATTTAGCTTTCAAAGTGCTCGTAATGCTCTTCTGATCTTTATTTGCCTGTTACGGCACCACTGGCTCCCAAAGCTGGGCCAAGAGGTGTAGAATGCTTCTTTAGGCCTGCTGCCCCAGGCCTGCTTTCCAGGCCACACTCTACTTACTGGTGGGGTTCCCACCAGTGCCATGGGGAAGGAAAGGGCCTACTCAAGTCCTCTTCTGCTCCTGGGTTCAGGGTCAGGAGATACTGGGCTTGTGCTGCCTTTTGCCTCTGGACTAAGAATAGGGAGACACTGAGCCTGGACTGCCTTTTGTCACCGTGTGGGTAATTGGAAGATAGGAAATTGTGGAGTCCCTAGCCAGTCTGCTTTCATCTTTTTACTCTTCAGTACCCTCCTGTGGATGTCTACTGTATTATTTCTAGAATCTTTAGCTGTACTTAGCGGGGAGGATCAGGGAGAGTTGAGATTCTGCCATCTTGTCCCAAACCCTAAACTAGTGTTTTAAGTAATTTTGGAATGTGAATGATATAGTCCCATTGGCTAAAATTATGTCCCTTTTATCCTCTGATAAGATTGTTACTGCCATTTCTCTGTAGATTTAAAATCTCTAAGAGCCGTATTAATATATCTTCTTCCACCACTGATTGTGCAAATTCCTTTTCATATGGACACAGAAAACAATTTCCGAGTTATTTTTATCTCTTCTTGTACATCTCTATACAGATGCTTCGTGAATAGTTTTTATGAGAAAGGATTTTTCCTAAAAATTACTTTAAAAGATATCTGTTTGACAATGATGATGTCTAGTGCTTACCAATCTTATCATTTAAATTGCAAATGTGTTTATTGAAATTTTTGTATTTATTGAAATATCTTCAAGTTTATTAAATAAAAAGCTGAAGAATGCCTTTGACACAGTTAAACTAAAAGGTAGCCTGTCATTTCATAATTACATTTATTCGAACCTGTAAAATATAACTAATTAGAATTAATCATGTTGAACCATTTTTATATCATTCATTTTCATTTCTTGTTTTGCCTCTTGCACTGTACTTGTCTCCCATACCTGGTCTGTCTATCCACTGTTGAGTTCATACATAAATAGGTATATTTTGAGTGAGAATTTGTTTCGGTTTTAGAAGTTTTATTTGAACATATTAACAAAGTAATCCCCAAACGAACAAGATAAAATTCATTGAGAACATCCCCTAGTAAAAGATTCCATACAGCCAGGTGTAGTGGTACATGTCTATAATCCCAGCTGCTTGGGAGGCTGAAATGGGGGCATCACTTGAGACCAGTTCGAGGCCACAATGTGCTATGGTCATGCTTATAAATAGCCATCGTGTTCCAGTCTGGGCAATGTAGTGAGACCCCATCTCTAAATTAAAAATGAAATTAATAAAATTTTTAAAAGATTCCACAGAGGTCTGTCAGTGTTTTTCTTTCATTCTCATCACTGTGAGAAGATGTTTGCCAAATAAATACAGTGTAATCTCAGTTTTTCATAACATTAAAAAATAGCTTTATTGAAATATAATAACATACCATATAATTCATAATACATTTAAAGTGTATAATTCAGTGGCTTTTAGTATATTCACAGAGTTGTGCAATCATAACTTTTAAAAAGATATTGTAGTATTTATTGATTTTCCTTAAACTCATTATGATTGTATAATTGGGATTTTTCCTTAGAATTTTACCGTCAGGATTGGAATGAGTTGCTTTCTTTTTTAAATTACTAGCTTGAATCAAGATGTGACAGCTGTGAAGGAAAACACCAATAATCCCGATAACCCAAGTGGAAATGGCAAACAGGATCGGATCAAACAGAGAAGAGCTTCCTGTCCCCGACCAGAGAAAGGGACTAAATTTCAGCTTACTGTCCTTCAGGTCAGTGTGTAAATATGGTTTTGATTAAGAGTATGTGCAGAGGGCCGGGCGCTGTGGCTCACGCCTGTAATCCTAGCTCTCTGGGAGGCCGAGGCGGGCGGATTGTTTGAGCTCAGGAGTTCGAGACCAGCCTGAGCAAGAGCGAGACCCCGTCTCTACTAAAAAGAGAAAGAAATTAATTGGACAACTAAAATATATATATAGAAAAAATTAGCCGGGCATGGTGGCACATGCCTGTAGTCCCAGCTACTTGGGAGGCTGAGGCAGGAGGATCGCTTGAGCCCAGGAGTTTGAGGTTGCTGTGAGCTAGGATGATGCCACGGCACTCTAGCCCGGGCAACACAGTGAGACTCTGTCTCAAAAAAAAAAAAAAAAAAAAAAGAGTATGTGCAGAAGTCTAGAGAGTCAGGGAGGGGGCAATGCTGCAGAAGTGAGTGTAGAATATTGGGAAATCCTCTAAACTAACTTTACCTCCGTTAACAAATTTCTCGTGAGGGCATTGTATGTTAAACTTGGGAAATATAGGGGAAATATAAGGAAGAAAATAAAATTCACTTGTAGCCACCCACTCAGAGATAGCTCATATTAATGTTCTAGTTTGTTTTTCCTCTCTTTTTTCTGTATATATATGTAGTATTTTACATTATTAGATTGTAATAGTATTAGTAATAGTAGCAAAAATCTATTAAATTTTTTTTTTTTCTTTTGAGACAGAGTCTTGCTCTGTTGCCCCAGCTAGAGTGCAGTGGTATCATCACAGCTCACTGCAGCCTCAAATTCCTGGGCTCAAGCGTCCCCCTGCTTCAGCCTGCTGAGTAGCTGGAACTACAGGCCTGTGCCACCATGTCTCACTAATTTCTTCTATTTTTAGCAGAGATGGGGTCTCACTCTTGCTCAGGCTGATCTAGAACTCCTGGCCTCAAGTGATCCTCCTGCTTCAGCCTCCTAGAGTGCTAGGATTACAGGCGTGAGCCACCATGCCAGGCCAGAAAAAAATCTATTGAATTTTTTTGTGGTAGGCACCCTAAATATTATCCATTTGTTTTATCATTTAATCCTTCAGTAACCCTGCATGATAGGTGGTAATATATACTCATCTTTACAAATGAAGATACTGGCTGGGCACGGTGGCTCACACTTGTAATCCCAGCATTTTGGGAGGCCCAGGCAGGAGGATCCCTGGAGGCCAGGAGTTCTAGACTATCCTGTGCAGCATAGTGAGGTATGAGACCCTGTCTCCAAAACAAACAAATAACCAAAAAACACAAACAAATAAGATACCGAAGATCAGAGAAATAAAGTAATTTGCCTGAGGTCACTCAACTAGCAAGTGATAGAATCAGATCTGAACCCAGTCTGACTGTAAAGCCCATATCTGTAACCAATATGATATGTTTTCAGATGGATGCTTAAACCTATATACAATTTAAACCTGCCTTTTAAAAAACTTGATATAGCATGTATATCTTCCTGTATTATTAAGTAATTTTTCAATAACATATTTTAAATGGCTGCATTAGATAGCCCCTTCTACAGAGGTATAATTTTATCATTCCCTGTGTTGGTCTTCATTTAGGCTCTTTTTTTTCTATCTGTCTTTCTCCTAGTCTGTCTTTTTCCTAATTTGCTATCTTCCTCTCTCTCTTGTTTCCTCTCTCTCTTGTCTGTCTTTCTTTCTCTGCAGCAAACATCCTTGAATACAAATCTTTATCTATCCCTGATTACTTCCTTATGATAGATCCATAGGAGTAGAATTAGTGGGTCAAAGAATATGAAGATTTTTAAGGTTTCTAGATGCATGTTGCTAGGTTGCTCTTTGGAAAGGTTGGGCCAGTTTACATTTCCATTAAGCAGTGCCTCTTCTTTTTTTTTTTTTTTTTGAGACAGAGTCTCACTGTGTTGTCCGGGCTAGAGTGCCCAAACTCCTGGGCTCAAGCAATCCTCCTGCCTCAGCCTCCCGAGTAGCTGGGACTACAGGCATGTGCCACCATGCGTGGCTAATTTTTTCTATATATTTTTAGTTGTCCGATTAATTTCTTTCTAATTTTAGTAGAGACGGGGTCTCGCTCTTGCTCAGGCTGGTTTTGAACTCCTGAGCTCAAACAATCCGCCCGCCTCGGCCTCCCAGAGAGCTAGGATTACAGGTGTGAGCCGCCGCGCCTGGCCTCAGTGCCTCTTCTTTTGCTTAGAGTCAGTTTGTAGGATTAAGAAAATTTTGGAAATAAATGACTGGATTTAGATCTTTTCATTGCAGATAGCTATAGTGACCACTGTAACTTTTTTTGCTTTTTTATGAAAGTTATGTTCCATTTTCTTTCCCACAGGATCATATTTCTAGCTTATTTTTTAGTGCATAATTTGAACCTGTTAGATTTATCCTCAAATGGCTGTTTATGTGGTATTTCAACAAAGGAAAACAGAATCTTTTTAGGTCTGAACTATTTAAACCATTTTCTGTATATATTGTATGTGAACTAATCTAGATGTTTCCTGCACAATTGCAAAGAGAAGACAATGACTCTTAAACCGGTGAAATGTTTGTACTCAGGTGTCAACCTCTGGAGACAACATGGTGGAGTGTCAGCTGGAGACACACAACAACAAGATGGTCACCTTCAAGTTTGATGTTGATGGTGATGCACCAGAGGATATTGCAGACTATATGGTAAGTATAGTAAAACCAAATTATTTTCCCTTCAACATTCTATGTCTCTTTTTCCCCTCTAATTCTCTCTCCATTTATTTGGAGGCATCATTTTTTTAAAGTGTACAGTTAGTTTTTAAAATTTGTACAGAGCTAAATCAGTTATGATCAAGGATAAGTCACTTCATCTCTTTCAGCTGAAGTATATTTATATGGAAATATGAGGGGATTTTATTAAGAGATGATCTAGATCAATGGTTCTTACCTCTGGCAGCATGTTAAAATCACGTGATGAGCTTTTTAAAAACAATTCTATTGCCTGGGCTCCTTATTAAATCAGAATCTTTGGAGGTCAGGGTTAAGCATCAATAGTTTATAAAGTTACCCAGGTAATTCTAATCTGCTAGTCACTGATCTAACATCTTGTATGTAGGTATTCAAGTTATATTTATCATTTCATTAAGTTTTTAATATTTTCAATGACTTTTAAGGCTTAAGTTAGTATTTTTTTCCTCTTTTTCTGATGGGGATGGGACTAGGGTAGAAGGAAGAGTCCATAATGCTTTTGTTTCCACCAACTTTCTTTGGTGGTGCATTCCTAGCCAAGCAGAACTAAACATTTTAAAAGTTAATCATTTTGTCAGTTCTCCCTCTTGTTTAACATAGTATTTTCTGAACTGCCTCTTCTTTCATATTTTATATCAATGTTTAGCCTAATTAAATGTTTGTTGAGCAATTTTTTATTATCTTTGGAGATGTTTCATTTTGTGATTTGTGATTTAAAAGTTTTTAGGGTTTGGGTATCTTAGTTTTAAACATTGCCTCTGTTAGTTATATTCTTCAAATAACAACCAATTTATAGAATGCTGAGTATTTTTTTAAATGCTAGCTTCTTCTCTGGTAAGTAGTGCCAATGTGACAAATATCTGTGGTCTCAAAATAGAATAATTTAATGTAGTATGTGGCATTTTATTGCTGATCTTTGTTAATTCTGTTGTGGCACTTAGATTTACATACTCAATTTAAATTTTTTTTTTTATGGTAGTCGCCATTGGTACAATATTATAATTTTGAAGAAACTAAATTCATTCTCATGAATAGGCTTACTTTTACTTTTGGGCAGGTTGAAGATAACTTTGTGCTGGAAAGTGAGAAAGAAAAATTTGTAGGAGAATTGAGGACTATCGTAGGTCAAGCCCAGGAGATCCTTCATGTCCACTCTGCTGCAGAAAGAGCCACTGGAGTTGACTCTATTACTGTGGAATCCAACAGTAGCCAAGTAAGAGCAATTGTTTACAAATAGGTCTTTTTGGATATGTATCAGGAACTTCTTTATTTATCTATTCATTTTTAATTCAGACAGGATCATCTGAACAAGTACAGATCAATTCTGCATCCACTCAAACCAGCAGTAAGTATATTTAATAAAATTTACCATTTGGCTTTTGAAGCAAGACATTTGGAAACTTTAATTTAGCCACCTTCATTGGGAAATATGTTAACCAATAAAGTGATTTGATAAGTTGTTAATGTAGGTTTTCCTACACTTTGAAAAGATATAATAGCTCAGAAGTAAAAATCCATCCTCCAAATTTGTTGGTTCTTTACCTTATTAATTTATTTCTGAGTTGTCGCATGGTATGTTACCAGAAAAGCAGTCACATACTGATGACCTTTAACAGCATAACTGTTTGAAACTTAATTGGTAAGTTTTGTTTTTTCTGATTTCAGATGGATAGAAACTTTTTTAATGAAAATCATTAGGTTCTAAGTTTGCCTCATGGTTTAAAAGTCATTCCTGTCTTGATTTCATTCCCCCAGTGATTCTTCTACATGCTCTGGTCACTAATAACTTTTTGTAAATCAGACACTGGATAAACTTCCAGAAAATAAAACTAGGGTCTTCCATTTTCTTTTCTGATGACTTTATCTTTCCATTATTCTCAGCTCTGGTCATGGGTATATTAAAAGAGTGTCTGGGAGAGGGAGAAGAGCTGTAGACAGATGAGGACCTCTGAAGGAATTATAACAACTTGAAGAAGCAAAAGGTGGTGTAGGAGTAATAGAACCAGATAACATTATCCTGAAATTTAGTTTGACTGCATTAGGATGGCAGAGTCCTCCTATATCTTATTTTTCTGGTTAGCTGAGATCTGAGCAGGTTTCTGACTAAAATGAAGGGGAAAGTTTAAAAGAAGAATTACTTATTTGAGTAAGTTTACAAAGTAGGGGTTAAGATGTAGGGGGTTATTTTACTTGATTTTAAAAATTTTCATATAGTAAAATTGACTTTTTTTCTTTTGGTGTACAGTTCTGTAAATTTTAATGCATATATAGATTTATGTAAGCACCACCATAATCAGGATGCAGAACAGAAGTGGTTCTGTAGGTAGGTTTTAATGGGAAAAGTGCTTTCCATTTTTTCAAAGAGTACCTTGCTTCTAATTGCTATTGATAACAATGTTTGTTTCAGCAGAATGTAAAATCCTTCTCTAAAGATATTATGTGCTTAGTTCTTTAGACTTTTTGTCAGGATTGGGAGATCTGGTCTCATAAATTACATATATCCTACCTAGTACAGTTGGAAATGGAGATACAAGACAAATTGTTTTTTCAACCTGGCTTCCTCAGTCAATAAGGTAAACAAATTGACAATTGCTGAACATATTCAATTTTTGCTAATTCTTTCCGCAGATGAATCTGCTCCTCAGTCATCCCCAGTTGGTCGGTGGCGATTTTGTATCAATCAAACAATAAAAAACCGTGAGGTTCAGTCTCCTCCTCTTCAGCATTCTATGTCTACGGTTCCTGGGCTACATCCACTTCCTAGTAAGCTTTTATTCTCTGCCGGGTTTGTCCAGACTCAAAGGATAGGGTTGCAAAACATATACTATCTTTAGCTGGTTTCTATGGGTATTTTATGCTTATGAGAATATTCATAAGCATTTTTGAAGACATTAATATTAGGGTATAACTTAAGCCATTTTTATTTAATGTTTATGGGGGGAAAATTTTTTTTTTCCTTGACAGGTTGATTTGAATTCTGTTTATTTTGAGTCTCATTTACAAGAGTACTTTCTTTCTTTCTTTTTTTTTTTAACACCCAGGTTGGAATGTGGTGGCATGATCATAGCTCACTTGCAGCTTGGGCTCAAGTGATCCTCTTGCCTCAGCCTCCCAAGTAGCTGGGACCATAGGCATACACCACCACACCCAGTTATTTTTTAAATTTTTTGTAGAAATGGCGTCTCTTGCCCAGGCTGGTCTCGAACTCTTGATCTCAATCAATCCTTCTTCCTCAGGCTCCCAAAGTACTGAGATTACAGGCATGAGCCACAGTACCCTGCCAGCCAAGAGTACTTTCATACAGGTTCTCATTTGTCCCTTGCTCCTCCTGTCTCTTTTGAGTTTGGGTACTAGTCCACGGTTTGTACCCCTCAATACATGCTTAGCCATTCTTTGTTATTGTTCCAGGTCCAAGAAACACAAATAATAAGGAAATATCACAGGACATACTGCTTACTATAGAAAATAATCCATACCAGCGTGCACTTTTCACCTCCAAATCAGAACACAAGGATGTAGTTGATGGTAAGATTTCTGAATGTGCTAGTGTAGAAACTGAGCAGCCACTTTATCAAGTGGTAGATAATGGGCAGATAATGGTACCAGTTACTAGTAGTTCCAATTATTCTGCTACTTCAGTTTGTGCCATTCCAATTGAATGTGAGGGACTCGCCAACCAAGCAGGCATATTCATACCTGTGTATTCATGTCACCAAGCTGCCAGTCAGGCCGATGTACTTATGGCCCATCCTGGCGAATCAACTCAGATTGCTGGTAACCCTATTACTACTCCGGCATTTGTATCTGATCAAAAGCCTCAATCCTTGTCAGTACAACAGCCAACTATGGATGCAGAGTTTTTTTCCCAAGAAGGAGAAATGACACTGAACACTGAAGCAGTTTCTCCTAAGACAGTTATTCCCACTCAGACCCCTGGCCTGGAACCAACTAGTCTTCTACCCACTACTGTCTTGGAATCAGATGGGGAAAGACCTCCAAAAATGGAGTTTGCAGACAACCGAATTAAAACTCTGGATGAAAAATTAAGAAACTTGCTCTATCAGGAGCATAACATCTCTAGCATCTATACTGAGAGTCAGAAGGATACTCAAAGCATAGACTCTCCATTTTCCTCCTCTGCTGAAGATACACTCTCCTGTCCAGTGCCAGAAGTCATAGCCATCAGTCACTGTGGAATTCAAGATAGCCCTGGACAATCCCCTAATTTCCAACAGACAGGCTCTAAGATTCTGTCCAATGTGGCTGTGAGTCAGCCTGCTAACCTATCAGTGTTCAAAAGGGACCTGAATGTGATAACTTCTGTACCCAGCGAATTGTGTTTGCATGTAAGTATTATTCTTTCTAATCAATTCCTTATTCTTTGCTTATGATTTTAAAGAAATGCCTTCTCTTATAAAATTCTGTCCTTTGAACTGAAATTGTCTATGTCACAAGATTCTGAGGTGACAGGTATTTAAGAAGGCCATGACTCAGGCTGCAGGTATCCAGAACTTCTCAGTAGACATAGCAGAACTATCTTTGGTAAGAGAGCCTTGTGGTGAATTAGCTAGGAACTTGTGAGCAATGTCTATGTTTGTATTAATGATAGAACAGAAACTGATTCATAGATTGTTTCGGTGGGCAGAACTTACTTTTTAGATTTCCACTTAAAATACCTGTTATTACTTTCCTTTCCCCCAGATTTTATGGTCTTAATTTAATCATGTTTGGAAGATTTTGATTTATTTGAAAAAAAGGAAAGTAAAAATTATCCATTAATCCCATGACTTGTTATTTTTTTTAATTTTTATTTTTCATTTTTAAGAGATAAGGTCTCACTGTGTTGCCCAGGCTGATCCCGAACTCCTGGCCTCAAGTGATCCTCTCACTTCAGCCTTCCAAGTAGCTGGCATTACAGGCCCAAGCCACTGCGCCTAGCCCATGACATGTTTTTTAAGTATATAATGTAGGAACTTTAATTTCCCTTTTCTACCCTTTTACATCACTGAGGTAACCATTAATAATTTGGTGCTTATCCTTCTTGACTTTTCTTAAGCTTATACAGATCTATTTACATACATATCACAACATTTTATTCACAAAACCAATATTGTGCTGTATACATATTTATCTGTAACTTAATTTTTTGATTTTATAATATATCATGAACATCTTTCTAAATCTTCACCACTGTATCTTTGTCATTGTTATTATTATATAAGTAATATATGCTTGCACATAAAATAAGATCCACCCCACCCCAAACCTATAGACATAGCTGTTAACCAATTTTCCAGATATAGTTTTAATATATAAATATTTATATAGACATACTTCTTTATATATATCTTTTTGTAGACATAGATACATGTTATACATTTATATACATATATTTCTTTACATATATGTGCTATTCTGCATTTTTTAAATTTATTATGGGCATCTGTTCATGTCAGTACACATGGTTCCACCTTAACTTTTTAAACAACTGTATAATATTCCACTGAATAGATATAATTGAAATTTTTTGTATACTAGTAACTTTAAATTATGGAATTAATATACAAACACAAAAGCGATTGAAAAGGCTAGAAATTAGAAGTAACCATTGTGTAACATCCTCCAACACCCCATCCCACTCTCCAAACACTCTTAAGTTCCTGGTTTTAATTCTTATGGTCATTACCATTAATAGCTTATATATAATATATGTATTTCTTTCTTTTTTTTTTTTTTTTTTTTTTTTTTTTGAGACAGAGTCTCACTCTCTTGCCTGGGCTAGAGTGCCGTGGCGTCAGCCTAGCTCACAGCAACCTCAAACTCCTGGGCTCAAGCGATCCTCCTGCCTCAGCCTCCCGAGTAGCTGGGACTACAGGCATGCACCACCATGCCCGGCTAATTTTTTCTATATATTTTTAGTTGTCCAGATAATTTCTTTCCATTTTTAGTAGAGACGAGGTCTCGCTCTTGTTCAGGCTGGTCTCGAACTCCTGACCTTGAGCGATCCACCCGCCTCAGCCTCCCAGAGTGCTAGGATTACAGGCGTGAGCCACCGCATCCAGCCTGTATTTATTTCTTGATTTAGTAATTTTAAATAATACCTAATGACTCACTGCTATGAAGGGTGAGGAAATTATTCTATTTTCCCTTCCACTTTTCTTTCTCATACACCTCTCAGGTTTTTTTTACTTGTATTACTTTCTTAACATTGGCAAAGTTTATGACATTTGTATTGTGTTCTCAAACAATTGGTTGTCTATGCCTGTAGGTTGATTGTAAAAATTGACAATCAATAAACAGTTTTATATTATGATTATGTGTATTATCCAGTGATCACATATTATGATTAGAATCATAAAAAAAGTAATTTTCTTTGTTGCTCAAAGGAGATTCCTAAGTGTTGAGATCAAATGGATTCTTTTATTTTTTCTTTATTTTTATTTTTTTCAGAGACAGGATCTTGCTCTGTCACCCAGGCTGGAGTGCAATGGTGCAATCATAGCTCACTGAAGCCTCGAATTCCTAGGCTCAAGCAATCCTCCCACCTCAGCCTCCTGAGTAGCTGGGACTACAGGCGTGTGCCACCGTGCCTGGCTAATATTTTTGGTTTTTTGTGTGGTAGAGATGGGGTCTTGACTATGTTGCTCAGCTGGTCTCAAACTCCTGGCCTCAAATGATCCTCTTGCCTTGGACTCCCAAAGTGCTGGGATTACAGGTGTGAGCCACTGCGCCCAGCTGGATTCTTTTATTTGTTTCATATCCACTTCTACATCTGGACACGTAGATATCACGTTTAGCTGCTACTGTTTCTGGTGACCTAGGATTCCTCTTTTGTCCCCTGAAATACTTCTTCGAGTAATATTTTCAAATATTTCACATGGGTGACTAATTTGGTATTTTTTTTTTGCATGTCCAAAAACGTCTTTGTTTTGCTTTACACTTGATTAACTAGATACAGATGGTAGGATCAGAATGTTTTCCTCTGAGAATTTAAAAGATACTGTTTCATTCTCTTTTAGCCTCTAATATTGCTAATGAGAGTAGTCAGTTTGATTATCATTCATTTGTAGGTAACCTGCTTTTACTCTAGATTAATGCTGTCCACTAGTACTTCCTACAATGTAGAAATGTTCTGTATCTGCACTATCCAATACAGTAACCACTAGTCACATATGATTATCAAGCACTTGAAATGTGGCTAGTGCAACTAAGGGCCTGAATTTTTAATTTACTTTTATTTTAATTAATTTAAATTTAGACAGCCACATGTGGTTAGTGACTACTGTATTGGATAGTTGAGGTCTAGAGGCTTTTAGGAAACTTTCTTGGAGCTCTGATTATCAGAGTGGTCTGATTATCAGAATGTGTCTTTTTTCCATTAATCTTGTACATCACTTTTGTGGGCTTTTTGAGTTTAAGGATTTGTGTCTTTTTAAGCTCTGGTAAACTTTACTTTTATTTTTTTTCTTCCCCTTCATTGTCTTTCTTCTTTCCATTTAGAAATCATAGGAGATAGGCCAGGTGCGGTCGCTCACGCCTGCAGTCCTAGCACTCTAGAAGGCTGAGGCAGAAGGATCAGCCTGAGCCAGAGTGGTACCCCAACCCCTCACCTATCCCCACCCCACCCCTGGCCTCCCATCTTTACTAAAACTAGAAAAATTAGCCAGGCGCAGTGGCACATGCCTGTAGTCCCAGCTACTTGGGAGGCTGAGGCCGGAGGATGACGTGAGCCCGAGAGTTTGAGGTTGCAGTGAGCTGTGATGATGCCACTGTACTGTAGCCTGGGTGACAAGAGTGAGACTCTGTCTCAAAAAAAAAAAAAAAAAAACCAGACAAAGAAGACATTGTAGGAGATATATGGTTTCCCAAATGTATGCTCCATATTTCTTAACAGTTTTCTCTAATTTTTAATTTTGTTTTCCTTTTACCTTATGTTCTCAGATATGTTTTCAGTTTTTTATTTTTTAATTTCAGATCACTGTTGTGGTATTTAGTCATATCCAGTTAATTTTTCATGTGGCAATTATGAATTTGATATTTTATTTTATTTTTACTCCTCTCGAATTTCATTTTTTAAATCTTATTCTTGGCTCCTTTTTCATAGCAACCTATTTTTGCGTGTATTTTCTCTTAAGCTTTTTTCTCAGAAAATTGACGAAAGATTAATTCTAGAATATATAAAGAACACTTACAAATCAGTAAGAAAAAAATCAGACAACTCAATGGAAGAATAGCCAAAGCATCTGGACATGCATTTCACAGAAGTAAAAATATAAATGCCTGATATACATGTGAAAAGATTTTCAGCTTCATTAATAATGAGAGAAACGCAAAATTTTAAACAGTGAAAAACAATTTTTGGCTTATCAGATTGGCAAATGTTAAAGAGATTAACAATATCCAATGTTAAGAAAACGGTAATTTTCATTTTGTGTTGGTAGGAATAAAATCAATACATGCTACTTGGGCAATTTAGCACTATGAAAATTTGAAATATGTGCATTCCTATGACCTAGTGATCATTCTCTGAAATTATACCTGAGGGAAACATTTGCACATACGAACAAAGAGGCATGTATAAGAATGTTCACTGTAACATTGTTTGATTATTTGTAACAGGAGAAAAATCACAACTTTATTCATAAATAGAAATGGTTATATAAATTGAAGGATATTAATACTATGAAGTAATTTAAAAACATGAAGTAGACATATAAATATGTTAGCTGTTATCATCTTTATACTAGCGTGGACGTATCTCCAGGAAAAATCATTAGGAAAAATATATGCTGAATAATTTAGACAGTATGAGGGTACTTATACTTTTAAAAGAAAATACATAAATGTATATATATGCATATGCATACATATATACATAAGTGTACACTAAAGTTCTGAAAAGATAAACTAATATTAGTGGATATCTTCCAGAAAGGACTGGGAAGGAGGATTGTTACGGAGATTTCTTTTTTTTTTTTTATCTAATGGTTTAGATCTTTTACAGAAAAAAATATTCATATATTGTAGTATTTTAAAATGAAAAAGTTCTTATTGAAGCACAGTATGTTAGAAAGAAAACAGCTATTGAACCTGACAAACCAGTTTCAAACTCATGCTTTGCCATTTACTGTATAATACTGGGCAAGTTATCTATACCCTTTACCTAACCTTAATTTCGTCATCTATAAAATGGGGATAATAGTACCTACTCAAAGAGCTACTGGATGCTTTTAGTATAGTCTCTTTATTCATCTTATTTGGTATTCTTTGTGTCCTTTAAACCTGGGAACTTATTTTTTCTTGCGATTTCTTTGAATGTTGTTATTTCTTTGGGTGTTTTCTCTCATCCATTCTCTTGTTTCTCCTTCTAGATATTTTTTAATCTTTTTTGTGATAAAATATACATAGCAAAATTTATTTTGTAACTATTTTACAGTGTTCAATCCAGTGATATGAAGTACATTCACAATGTTGTGCATCCATCACCACTGTCTAGTTCCAGAACTTTTTCATCACCACAAAAAGAGAAACTCCATACCCATTAAGCCATCACTATTCATTCTCCTCTCCCCCCAGCCCCTTGCAACCACTAATCTGCTTTTTGTCAATATGGATTTGCCTATTCTAGATATTTCATATAAATGGAACCATACAATATGTGGTTTTTTGTGTCTAGCTTCTTCCACTTAGCATCATGTTTCAAGGTTCATATTACATCGTATGGCTGTGCCACATTTTGTTTATCTCTTCATTTAGGTTGTTTCTACCTTTTGGTTGTTATGTATAGTGCTGCTTTGAACATTAATATAAAGTATTTGTTTGAGTTTCTGTTTTCAGTTCTTTGGGGCATATATCTAGGAGCGGAATTCCTGGGTCATATGATAATTCTATGTTTAACTTATCGAGGAACTGCCTGATTGTTTTCCATAGTGGGCGCACCATTTTACATTCCTACCAGCACCATGTGAGGGTTCCAGTTTGTCCACATCCTCACCAATACTTGTTATTTTCCAATTTTTGATTGTAGCCATCCTAGGGGATATGAAGTGGTATCTCATTATGGTCTTGATTTACATTTCTTTAATGGCTAATGATGTTGAGAAACTTCATGTTTTCATTGGCCATTTGTATATCTTCTTTGGAGAAATGTCCATTCAAGTCCTTTGCCCATTTTTAAATTGGGTTGTTTGTGATGTTGAGTTTTAAGAGTTCTTTATATATTCTGGATACTAGACCTTTATTAATATTTGATTTACAGATATTTTCTCCCATTCTGTGGGATTGTCTTTTCGCTCCTGATAGTATCCTTTGATGCACAAAAGTTTTTAATTTCAATGGAGTCTAATTATGTACTTTTTCTTTTTTTGCTTATGCTTTTGGTGTCATACCTAAGAAACTATTGCTTAATCCAAAGTCACCTCTGTGTTTTCTTTGAACAGCTTTATACTTATAGCTCTTACATTTAGGTCTTTGATTCATTTTGAGTTAATTTTTACATATGATATGAGATAAGAGTCCTGCTTCATTCTTTTACATTTGGATATTTGGTTGTTCTAGCATGACTTGTTGAAGAGACTAGTTTTCCCCCATTGAATGGTCATGGCATCCTTGTCAAAAATCAATTGAGTATAGATGTATGGATTTATTTCTGTACTCCGTTGAGCTCTATTATTTTATTCCATTGAGCTCTATATCTATTCTTATGCTGATATCACACCATTTTGATTATTATAGCTTTGTAGTAAGTTTTCAAATCAGGAAGGGCGAGTCCTCCAACTTTGTTCTTTTTCAATATTTTTTGGCTATTCAGGGTCCCCTGTAATTCCATACGAATTTTAGTGTCAGCTTTTCTATTGCTGTAAAAAAGGTTGTTGGGATTTTGATAGGGATTACATTGAATCAATAGATTGCTTTGGGGACTTTTAACAGGTTAATTCTTCCTATCCATGAACACAAGATGGCTTTCCATTTATTTAGGTATTCTTTAATTTCTTTCAGCAATGTTTTGTAGTTTTTGGTGTATAAATCTTTCACCTCATTCGTTAAATTTATTCCTAAGTATTTTATTCTCTTTGTTGTTGTTATAAATGGAATTGTTTCCTAAATTTCCTTTTTGGATTCTTCATTGCTAATGTTTAGAAATACAGCTGATTTTTATGTATTGATATTGTATCCTTCAACTTTGCTGAGTTTATTAGCTCTAGTGACTTTTAGTGGATTCTTTAGGATTTTTATATATAAGATCATATCATCTGTGAATAGAGATAGTTTTATTTCTTCATTTCCTTTCTTATCTATTAACTTTTCATTTCATACTTTCCATCTCTTTGTCCTTTTGCTTTTTGTTCTGGGAAAATTTCTCAATTTCTAATCTGTTTGCAGTCTCCTATTTAGCTGGGTTTTTGGTGTCAAGGATTATTATTTTTTTTAATTTCTAGTCACAATAGTTTATTTTTTATGGATGTACTATATTCACACATCTCTCTGAAAATATTAAAATATTATTCTATGTTATTAATGTTATTTCCTTGGCTATTCTGTTTGTTGAGTTTAGTGTTTTCTTATAGTATTGATTTCGCATAAGTGTTTAGTGATTCTTGGTTGTATACTCATCTTTTTTTTACTCGTAACATTCTTTCTTCATCTGTAAATGCTATATATAATTACTGTAGCCTTCCTCCAGTAATTGTGTGAAATGTATGGGACATGCTTCCTGGAACTATATATTGCAACTTGTTTCAAATGCTGCCTGAAGGGTGGCCCGGTAGCTAGTCTCCAAAGGTAGGAAGGCTTACCCTTTTTCCTGGATGTTGTCTCCTTTTAATGTTACTGACCTTTTTCTTGGCCACAAACCTTTTCCTCTTACTACTTTTATTGGGGGGCAGGGTGGCAGGTGCCTTTGCTGTCTTTCGCTCGGTGTGGAAGAGGGTAAGGAAGGTACAGAACTGCCAGACTGTTTCTTCTTTGGTACCTCAACCAGTTCATTCTTCTATTCATTGAGTATCTACTGAGTAGTGAATAAGTCAGAACCTCTGTTTTTATGGTATACACATTCTAGTGAGGAGAAATAGACCCTAAACAAATACATAGGGGTCAGGGAAGGACTTATATGTTGTGGTGACATTCACAGGTGGAGACCTGTTCAAGGAACCAAAAGAAGTCCTGTAAGTAGGAGGGTATTATGAGGTAATGTTGAAGAGATGAATAGGAGACAAATCGTGTATAGTTTTGTAAGCATTACAGCCAACTACTCATCCTTTTAGTTGGCCAGGACTCTCTCCTGTTCCCCGTATCTGCCACCTGAGTTTGCAGCATTTTGAAACAGTTCCTACATATATATCATGGTCTACTTTTTCCCCCTTCAGCTATATATGCTTGTGTGTGTATCTATTTTTCCTATTGTGTCTGTGGATTTGGATTGGTAAGGGAGGTTAGAACATATATTTATTTTGCTGTCTTGATCCAGTCACTACATATGAAAAATATTTTCTATAATTTCAGTGGGACCAATGCAACACTTTCTAAATTGTAGTCTTGAGGGATTTTTCCTCCTCGTGGAAGTAGTGTTATTACTAGTCCAAAATGGGACTTCAGAAAATAAAAACTGATTATTTATAATTTTGCTTTCAATAACTCCTGAACTGCCCCAAGTGTTACTAATGCTTACACAAGACAGTATACTTACTGTCATGTAGGCTGTCTTCCTTCAGACAATTTCTAAATCCCATTCTTTGTGCTTTTATATTCTCTTTTAATCTTCTAGATTAGTATTGGTCATTATCATGTTTTCCAAAGTATTCGTGGATGTCTGTATTAATTTTTGTATTAATTACTATAGGGGATTTATTTTTAAAGCACTCATTTAGATACAAAAGTTAATTCTGGGGGGCTTTTGTGGGGTAGGAGGACAATAAGGGGAAAGTGATTTTATAGCCAGCATGGGCTGATGTTAACAATTTTTAGAACATGAATTTGAAATAATTCTCAGGTACTTTGTAAATTTCTGTGTGCTTGCATAAAGTAAGAAACTTGATTTGCTGATATTTCTCTGTAAGACCAAGTGCTTAGATATCTTCTTTTTCTCTGTTATCATGTGTGTCAGGCATCTTTAACTCTCTTAAATAATATGAGCAAAAATGAAAATTTTCATTTTAATAGCATGGGGCTTTAGTAACCTTTTTAGTAAATTGGTACATATGAAGGAAATAATTTCTGTTTTGATTTTTGGTTGTCTTTTTTGTTTTTGTTTCATTTTGTTTTTGAGACAGGGTCTCACTAGGCTGCCCAGGCTGGAGTACAGTGATGTAATCATAGTTTACTGTAGCCTCGAACTCCTGGGCTCAGGTGATCATCCTGCCTCAGCCTCCTAGTAGCTACGACTACAGGCATGCATCACCATGCCAAGCTAATTTTTAAAATTTTTTTTGTAGAAATAGGGTCTTACTATGTTGCCCAGGCTGGTCTCAAACTCCTGGCCTCAAGTGATCCTCCTCCCTTAGCCTCCCAAAGTGCTGGGATTATAAGCATGAGCCACCATGCCTGGCCTTGATTTTCAGTTTTTAAAGTTTATATAATGATGAAAAATATTCTGGGGTCGAAGATTAATAATCTGTTTTCTGAAGTCTAAATAATGTGGGTTTTTTTGAGACAGCATCTTGCTGTGTCACCTGGGATAGAGTGCAGTGGCATCATCATAGCTCACTGCAACCTCAAATCCTAGGCTCAAGTGATTCTCCTGCCTCAGCCTCCCAAGCTGGGACTACAGGCGTGTGCCACTATGCCCCACTAATTTTTCTATTTTTTGTAGAGATGGGGTCTCTTATTCAGGCTGGTCTCGAATTCCTGGCCTCAAGCAATCCTCCCGCCTCGTCCTCCCAGAGGGCTAGGATTACGGGCATCAGTCACTGTGCCCAGCCTAAATAATATTTTTAAAGAAAGGGAAAGCTTAATTTCTATAAATTGAGTACTTTAGATTCCTTCTGATCTGGTACTATTAATGGAACTATATAATAATATCCTATTTTTGATTAAAGATTAGTCCATACAAGAAACTCCTATGATATTAAAAATATGTCATCTTACCTAAATTATTACCACTTTGGTTTTTCTCATTTTTTGTCTCCATTAGGAGATGTCCTCAGATGCTTCACTTCCAGGGGATCCAGAGGCCTATCCTGCTGCTGTGTCAAGCGGTGGAGCCATTCATCTGCAGACAGGAGGTGGATATTTTGGCCTAAGCTTTACTTGTCCTAGTCTCAAAAATCCTATTAGCAAGAAATCCTGGACTCGCAAATTAAAAAGCTGGGCATACAGGCTACGGCAGTCAACCAGCTTTTTCAAGAGATCAAAAGTCCGTCAAGGTAGTGTGCTTACAGTCAGGGACATAGACTAGGTAACATCACTTTTCATTTACTTATTTTTTTTGTTCATACACAAATCTTGCCACTTTTTCCACTTAGCCCATATATGTGACATATCCCATTAATGTCATCGCCATTTTATTTTTCCTTTTGTAACTAATTTGGTTTTCCAATTTTTCATTTCATATAGATACTAAGTCTCGGGATAAATCTTGCAATGTCTGATTTAGAGTTAGGGACTTATATGATGTTGCTTAATACATTAATACCTTTTAATTGTCTAGCAGGAGTTAAACTTTTTCTACTTTTCTTCATTTTTGGTAAAGTAAACAAATTTAGTCTTAACAAATAATTTTCTCTTTTCTACTTACAATTTGGCAAAATTGCAGTGGAAACAGAAGATAAGAGATCAGCAATTGCTCCTGATCCCATTCCTCTGACACGGGAGTCCACAGATGATATTAGGGCTTTGAGTAGATGGAAAGCGATGACTGGATCGTTTCAGCGGGGTCGGTTCCAGGTTTGTGTCTTTGGTTGATTCCTTATCTACAAGGGTATTATTAAAGGTAACAGCCATTGTATATCTTGGTCTGTAGATGATACTTACTTTAAATGTAGATCATTGTCATATTTAAATTGTTCACCTTGCATGTATCCCCTCACCATTTGTAGCCATCAGTAAAGGTGAATCAGAAGAAATGGAGATTTTAATAGCTGGAAGAGAACACAGAAATGGGTTGTCATTTTTTGCCAGGTGGTTGGGTCATCTTTTTTATAAATTTAATTTCATGTCCTCTAGAATCTTTGCAAATCTAATTGTGGAATTTTATTTGAGCAATATGAAGCCAACTCTCCTTATTCAAGGGGCCCAGTTGAAAGACTTTGAATATGGGGAGTATAGATGGAATTTTTAAGTTTTGGTAGTATCAATACATGTATATCACAGCAGACCATCCATTTATCTATACTGTGCCAGACACTTTTACCTTTTTATATCTCAGGTGATTACAGTTCCTCAGGAGCAGTCAGTGAAAATCACATCTTTTGAAATAGAACACATACCAGCGTTCAATGAAACAACAAACCATTCCAGTGAAGAAACTCTAGCCTTTATTGAAACAGCAAAGTCTCAGTTGGTAGAAGTGGAACCTGCCACGCACAATCCACAAGCTTCATTTTCTTCTCAGAAGTTACGAGCTCTTCATGAAACCTTTAAAGAAGATAAAGGAATTCCCAAACAAGGTGACAACTTCTTATCTTTCAGCACAGCTTGTGAGACTGATGTATCTTCAGTGACCCCAGAAAAGGAATTGGAAGAAACTTCAGCCACAGGAAGTAGCATGCAGTCTGGATCTGAACTGTTGCTTAAAGAGAGAGAAATACTACCTGCTGGGAAACAGCCTAGCTCTGACAGTGAATTTTCAGCCAGCCTTGCTGGCAGTGGAAAGTCAGTGGCAAAGACTGGTCCAGAGAGTGATCAGTGCTTACCACTCCATGAAGAACAAGCCTATGCTCAAACACAGAGTTCACTCTTCTATTCGCCATCTTCCCCAATGAGCAGTGATGATGAGTCAGAAATAGAGGACGAGGACTTAAAGGTGGAGCTTCAAAGGTTACGAGAAAAGTAAGGAGACTTTCTCTTCTGCCATAAGTCTGGTTGCTCTGGGTTTTATGGAACTTAGTATTTGGTAGCTAATTTAGGATTGGCGACATTTTAATGCTTGAAACCTTTTTATGATTGAAAACTATAAAGACTGTTAATGCTAGACATTTATGAATGTTAAAGTCCTTATATATAAAATATTTTCATAGTCTGAAGACTAATTATTGGTTGGTTTTTTTCCCAATATGGTTTAGTTGTTCTTTTTGATGACCTTTTCAATCCTTATCCTTCAAGACTTTTGTTTTAGATTTTACAACTATTCTTAATTTCACATTTGATAAGTAAATAGCTAATTTATATAGTCAGAGATAGTGGTTCATCTTCTTTAGGAAAAGGTAAGATACTTCCAAGAAGATCAAGCTTGTTATTTGGTAACTGAGGTTATGAACCTTCAGTAGTGATACTATGGTAATATATTTTGTCATGTAGAATGCTGTTTTGTATTTAGTTTTATAAACTTTGTCATTTTTTAAAAGAAATTAGTATTAAGTTGCTGAATTCTTTCTAATTCTATTCACATTATTTAAAATTCAGTAGATACAAAAGGGTAACCAGTAGTCTCCCTCCTAGCACTGTACCCGAAATACCCAGGTTTTTTCCTTAGAGACAACAATTATTACCTGTTTCCTGTATATCCAGTTAGTATATGCAAACAAATACATACATATTTTTTGTTCCCTACAAGTAGTAATTGTACTACAGACTGTTCTTATATCTTGCTTTTTTTTTTTATCATTTCATGATATCTTGACTCTTTATCTGCATCATTCTATTTTTTACAGTTGCATAGTATTCCATTATGTGTATATACTTGTAAATTTATTACTAACTTCCTATGGGTGACCCCATGCCATTACTTTGAGAAGCTGAGACCAACTCTAGCAATATTTGAGTGTATCTTATGTTTTAGAGAATTTCTACCCTGGTCTGGGTCTTGAAAAACTTATAAAACAGGGAGATTCAGGGAGGAGATAAAAATATAGGTATAGAAAAAGCTGGATTTTAGTCATATTCTTACATGTTTGGATAATGATCCACTTGGATGCTATGTTTGAGTGCTTTAAAAACTAAAGTGGGTTAAAATCCTTGGAAATTTCCCAGTTTTAAAGGACTTGCCCAGAGGAGGAAAAAAACTCCAAATCCCAAAACTGTTATTTCAGTGACAGATAATTATAATACAATTTTCTCCCCAGCTTGTTTCAGTTTTTTAAACTTGAGCCTAGAAAAAAATGCAAATGTATGCTTTAAACATTCATCACTGGAAGGTTAATATTCTACTTAAAAAAAATACACAGGCTTGATGTTACTATATATTATGTATACATCAACTTTACTATATATTAAGTACTATGCAGTATATGTACACTGATACTTTTATAATAAAGGTAATTATTATTAAGGTAGTTTAATGTTTGTGTTATCAATACTCCATCGCTGTTTTTACTGTTTCTTTTAAACCATTCTCAAAAGGCTGGTGGCTTTTGTAGCTGGCTGTAATGCTTATGAGTATGTACTTTATTTTGAATGTGAGACATTGATTCTCATAACCTCATAGAACCCAAGACCTAGAAGGGAATCTTAAAAGATGATTTATTCTATTTTGTCTTCAATATTCTTTTGGCATTATAGTTTCTTCACAAAATTTTAAAACTCTTAAATAATGTTTCTCAGGCCTGTAGTCCTACAGGCCCACAATGGTGAGCTGAGTTTTTCAGACCTCAATTATTTTGAACTAACTATAGTCTCTTTTTTTTGCATTAAAAATGATATATGAGAAAAGATTCAAACAACACAGTAAAAAGGTAAACAAACAATCTCCCATTTCTCACGCCTCAATCTCACTTTTCAGAGGTAACCACTGTGAACTGTTTGATATATCTTCGTGGTCCTTTTTCTATTCATTTACAAATATATAATTTTTGCTTTTTATGAAAATAATATACATGTTATTCTACAATTTTTGAAGTAACATTGTCACATATATACATATCTACATAAATAAATCTACCTTTTTTTCTTAAATGGTTGCATGCTGTTCCAAAGTATGAGTATACTCAAATTTATTTAATCCCTCCTTAATGGAAATTTCAGTTTTTCCCCATGTTTTGCTTATATAAACAATGCTGAAGTGAACATCCTTATATTTTGATGTACTTATTATTTTTGTAGGGTGGATGCGTAAAAGTGGAATTACTGATAAAAGGCGTGTCCATTTTAAATTGATTGGTACTGCTAAAATTGTCTTCCAATGTAGCTATACCATTTTATACTCCAAACAAAAATATATGAAAGTGCCTGTTTCGCCACACCTTAACAACACTAGATTGGATATTACTGATCCTTTAATTTTATTCCAATCAGTTTAACTTAAAAATATTTTTTAAAAATCCTGTTCTTCTGATTAATAGTGAAGTTGTACATAATCTCATATTCAGTGGCTATTTTTATTTCCTCTTCTTTGGAATTGCCTTTTCATATTCTTTGCCCTTTTTCAAAAATAAGGTTGTTTCTTTTTTCTTATTGATTTTTAGGAATTATTTATATATTCTGAATATTATCCCTTTATTATATGTTAAAATATTTTCTTCCTGTTTATACTTTTAACATATCATAAAGAAAAAATTAATATTATTACTATTATTTGACTTAAAATTTTTATTGTATTTCACTATATTGAATTTTTGGAAACTTGTTCTTATCAATTCGTTCATCTTTTTCTTTATGAGTGATTAACATTATGCTTAGGCAGGCATTTCTCATCCTAAAATTGTGAAAATACTCTGTATATCCTCATTCTTAATCTAAATTCCTTGTTAAACTTGTACCGGTGTAGAGTTTCTTGGAGCATCTCTGTGGAGCCAGTGCCATTAAAATGCTTTCTGCATGATTTTCATTCAGACACATACAGGAGGTGGTAAATCTTCAAACTCAGCAGAATAAGGAGCTTCAGGAGCTCTATGAACGCCTTCGGTCAATCAAAGATAGCAAAACCCAGTCTTCAGAGATTCCTTTGCCACCTGCATCACCACGTCGACCGAGATCTTTCAAAAGCAAACTTCGCAGCCGCCCCCAGTCCTTGACACATGTGGACAATGGCATAGTTGCCACAGGTAAATCAATCATAAAAGGAATTTTTTAAAAACCTGCTCAAATATCAGCAAAATTGGAAAAATGACGATAATATAATTTTTTTATTAAGCTAAAATAATTTAAAGAAGTGTACATTATTCTGAGATTCTTTTCTACCTTTTTGGTATTAAATGTTCTTTTATGAAATAATAATGAGGCTAACTGATAGATTTTGGAGAACAGCCAAGTGTGTTTTGTGTTTTCATTTGGAAAACAAACAGCTGGAAACCCAGTATCAGTCCCCAAAATAGGCTGGGCATGGTGGCTCACGCCCATAATCCTACCACTTTGGGAGACTGAAGCAGGAGGATTGCTTGAGGCCAGGAGTTCGAGACCAGCCTGAGCAAGGGCGAGACCCCGTCTCCACAAAAAACAGAAGAATTAGCTGGGTGTGGTGGCATGCACCTGCAGTCCCAGCTATTCAGGAGGCTGAGGCAAGAGAATTGCTTGAGCCGAGGAGTTTGCAGTTGCAGTGAGCTATGATGACGCCACTGTACTCCTCTAGCCCAGGCAACAGAGCAAGACCCCATCTCGAGAAAAAAAAAACCCCAAAATAGTTTTTGAAATGTTATCAGTAAATGAAAACCACTGGTCTGGCATTTAGAGTTTGTTGGGAAGTTTGTTGGTAACAAAGATAATCTTAAAAATATGCTCTATATGAAGATTATTTATTATTTATAAGAATATTATTAAAATGTACTTCTTTGACTTTGAAAAAAAGAGAGTCAGTCTTTACTTAACTAAAAAAGAAGTTGTTAATCAGGTCAGGCTTCTTTGGTTATATATGCATAGTCAAGGTGAGGTTGAGGATGCATTGTAGGGACATATGTGAAATCTTAACAGAATTTGTGCTAGGCAGAATAATGGCCCCTCAAAGATGTCAATGTGTAAATCTCTGGAACCTGTTACTATGTTAGATTATATGGCAAAGGAGAATTAAGCTTGCAGATGGAATTAAAATTACTAATCTACTAACTTTAGGGAGAGTACCCTAGATTATCCAGGTGGGTCCAATATAATCATAAGGGTCCATAAAAGTGGAAGAAGGGGAAGACATAAGAGAGAATCAGAGAAATGATATGACAAGGGAAACAGTGTCAGAGAGGTGCAACACTACTGGCTTTGAAGGCAGGGGAAGGGGGCCACAAACCATGGAATGCAGGCAGCTTCTAGAACCTGGAAAGACCAGGGAACAGATCTTCCCTACAGCCTCCAGAAGGAACACAGTCCTGACAACACTTTGATTTTAGGCCTATGAGACCCATGATGGACTTCCATCCATAGAACTCTAAGATAATAAATTTGTATTGTTTGAAACAACTATGTTTATGGTAATTAGTTACAGCAACACTACACAACTAATACAGATCTTCAGAACAGGAATTGTACTTCGGATGATCCTCATAAAGATAGAACTAAAGGGTAAACTTGCATCAAAGGCAGCTTTGGGGATTTAATAGCAGAAGCACATGGACCTTCAGTCTGATGCTGTACCATTAATAGTTATGCTTTATTCTGTTTTGTCCCAAAATGCATTTTTATGCATAGTTTTAGCTTCCCCAGAACTTTGGCTTTCACATAACTTTGGCTTGTGATCCCAGAGCATTTCAGATCCCTGCTTACCTGACTTTTGTCAGATTCCAGAGATAGAAAATTTGACTGTCTCTGCTCATCTTTTTTATGCCAGGAAATGGATCGAATTCCATGGCCTGGCCTATAATTGAGATGTTCTACAGTCAGATGTCCACCTATTTCTAAGTACCATGGCCAAAGGAGTGAGATATCATGGTAAAAACATGCCTTTTGAGACTGACTTCTTTGACTCAGAACAACATCTTTGGGATTCCTCAAGTTATTTTGTGTTATAATAGTTTATTCCTTTACATTGTTGAGTAATATTCCACAGTGTAGATATACAGTAGTTTTTTTTATCCATTCATCTGTTGATGGACATTTGAGTTGTTTCTAGTTTGGGGTTTTCCAAATAAAGCTGCTGTAGGCTGGACATGGTGGCTCACACCTGTAATCTTAGCACTCTGGGAGGCAGAGGCGGGAGGATCGCTTGAGCTCAGGAGTTCGAGACCAGCCTGAGCAAGAGTGAGACCCCCATCTCTACTGAAAATAGAAAAAATAAACCAAGCTGTAGTCCCAGATACTCAGGAGGTTAAGGCAAGAGGATCGCTTGAGCCCAGGAGTTTGAGGTTGCTGTGAGCTGGGCTGACGCCACGGCACCCTAGCCCAGGCGAGAGAGCAAGACTCTGTCTCAAAAAAAAAAAAAAAAAAAACAGAAATGAGATCGCTGAGTCATATGGTATGTGTATTTAAATGTTTCAAGAAATTGCCAAACTATTTTCCCAAGCAGCTGTATCATCTTACATTCCCATTAGGAATGTATGAGACTTCAGTTTCTCTGAATGCTCTTCAGTACTTGGTATTATCAGCATTCTTTATTTCAACCTATCTAATAGCTGTGTAGTGGTATAAATGGTGGTTTTAATTTTCATTTCCCTAATGATAGTGATGGTGAGTATTTTTTCTTGTCCTTATTTGTGATCCATATATCCTCAGTGGTAAAGAGTTTGTTCAAGTCTTTTGCCATTTTTTTATATCCTGTTTTATATTTAATTGAAGTTTTCATTGAGATAATTGTGGGTTTATATGTAGTTGAAGAAATATTACAGAGAGATCCTGTGTACCCTTCACCCAGTTTACCTCAAAGGTAACAATTTTTGTCATTTTAGAAAATTAGAGTGTTGGTTTTCATATGGTTGATTTTTGAGAGTTTTTTTTTTCTATATTTTATATAAAAACCCTTTGTAGAACATGTGATTTGCAAATTTTATATATTCTTCCAGTCTGTAGCTTGTCTTTTCATTTTCCCTTAAAGTGTTATTGGCAGAGCAAAAGTTTATGATTTTAATAAAGTACACTTTATCAAATGTGTTTTAATGTATCATGATTTGGGTATAATATCTAAGAACTCTGCCTAAACTCAGGTCACAAAGATTTTTCTCTATGTTTTCTTCTAAAAGTTTTTTTAGTTTTATGTTTTATATTTTGATCTATGACACATTTTGAATTACTTTTTGTATAAGGTGTGAGGTTTTGGGCAGTGTTCTTTTTTTGCATATGGATATTCAATTATTATATCACAACTTATTCAAAAGACCATCTTTCTTCATTGAATAGCTTTTGCACCTTTGTCAAAAATCAATTAGCCATATATGTGCAGGTCTATTTTTAACTCTTTATTCTGTTCCCATTAATCTATATGTCTGTCCTTTCACCAGTACCATACTATCTTGATTACTGTAGCTTTATAGCAACTTTTTAAATTGGTATTGTTAAAATTAGGTATTACGATTCCTGGAACTTTGTTCTTTTCATAATTGTTTTAGCTATTCTAGTTCCTTTCCCTTTCCTTTTCATATAAATTTTAGAATCAGCTTGACTATATCTTAAAAAAAATCCTGTTGTAATTGTGTTAAATCTATATGTCGATTGGGGGAGAATCTACATTTTTACTCTGTTGAGTCTTCTAATCAATAACCATAGGATGTCTCTCCATTTTTTAACGTCTTCTTTGATATGTTTTTATAATAACATGCTTTGTACTTATACCTAATGATTTCTTTTATTTTGGGGAAGTTTCCAATCATACATTGCTAGAGAGATACTAATTTTTATATACCGAACTTGTAGCATAAGATCTTGTTAAACTTACTTGTTTTAAGAGTTTTCTTATAGATTCTTTGGGATTTTCTGAGTGAGAAGTCATGTCATCTGTGAATAGGGAAAATTTTATTTCTTCCTTTTTAATCTTTATGCCTTTTATTTCGTCGTCTTCTTTTTTTTTAGAGGCCGAGTCTTGCTCTATTGCCCAAGCTGGAGTGCAGTAGTGTGATCATAGCTCACTGTAACCTTGAACTCCTGGGCTCCAGAGATCCTCCTACTTCAGCCTCCTCAGTAGCTGAGACTACAGGTGCATGTCACCATGCACAGCTAATTTTTTTTTTTTTTTTTTTTAGAGATGGGGTCTTACTGTATTTCCCAGGCTGGTCTTGAACACCTGGCCTCCCAAGGTGCTGGGATTACAGGCACGAG